GACATTTGGGACCAAGATGGCACTAGTTACAATAAAAAAGCTTGGCTATCATAAGCGCTTGAAGCAATCCAAGGTCTGAGCCAACAATGCCATCATGTTTCTATTAAAAAGAGATGAAATACATTCAGACTTTTTCTCCAGTGGTATCATTTACTTTAAAATCGTAGCACCACAGTTAAATCTCTTTTTTTTTTTTTTCCCAATTATAATATTGCCTAACTGTGTCCAAGATTATTTACTCCTATCTAGAAATTTTATTTTTAGTTTGAATTTTTGCTACTTGAATTGATTTTAACTGTCTACTCATGAGAAAAATGTGTCTTTTGCACAGTCTCTCTATTTTCTTGCATATTTTCTTCTTTTTATGGATTATGTTTTGAGCCTATGCAAAATCACATAGGGCTGACTGTGTTATGACAGTTTAAGATTCAAATGTCAAAAATTTTGATGTAATAAATTTCACATTGCCATTCAAAGCAGCCCTTCATTTTCGGTGACAACCTGTCGTTTAGAAAACATACTAAATGCATGTCTGAAATTATCTCTGCTAAGCCTAATGAAACAAAAATTCTCAAATGTTTCACTTTGCATGAAATGTTCAGTTGCCAGTAAGTAAAGCCTGGAGTGTTCTGCTCATTCCTGGAAAAACAAAAGAAAAAGTCCCTTTTCTTTGCTCTTGCTGTTGTTTTCTGTTTCAGAAGTGGTTTGGAGGTATGCTGAATGCTTGGAGCCCTGTCTCCTGTTTAATCTCATCCTTTTCCTAAGGAAGAGACAAAGTGGCAGAACTCAATATTTCTGACTACAAAAAGTTTCTGTGTTGTTCACACTGCCACCTTTGTGGAAGACTCATACCAAGAAATGAAATTTTTCCATGGATGCCTTTTTGTGGGTTCCAGCCTAAACCAAGATATGCTTTCTTCCCTTTCTAAATTAATAATTAGCATCAGCAATGTTTACGGAGGTTGTTGAAGAACAGGGTAGAGTATATTTCTAGGTAACTACATGGTACCTGGTTGTTGACTAAATGTTTATGAGATGGGAGCAATACGGAGATTACAAGAGTCTTTTACTTCTGGCTCACAGAAACAAATCTAGTGACAAGGTCCAAGTAGTAACCTTGCCAACAATGTTCAGCACCTTGGTAAACTGCGGTGAAGTATATAGTATAACTTCTACAAAAAGCATCTTTCTGTTTCTCAGACTGGAAAAAAAGGACTACCGGTGCTTCAGTATATAGAGTAAACTATCCTTTGCATGTCCACCTAAGTGAAAAGTATCTAAGTAATATGTTTAGATTAATGAGCTAGTTAGGGTGCAGATATTTAAAACGTTTTATATCCTCACTGACATTAAAGAAGTTTCTAATCAGGAAATCTGTGATGGGCCTTTCTGGATGTTAGTGAGCACACAAGTAAATGTTCATCTCTGATTTAATTTTGAATGACATGAAATTAATGTTAAGAAAGAAAGGACGGGATAAGTATAGTAGGTAATGCTTATGGTCCCGTTTTCTACAGTGTTATTTTCAGAAAAGTCTTTTGAGCCACTCTCTCTGCACACAGATAACACTTTCTTTGATTCCAGTTAGCTGTCACGTTAGCTGTCCTTTATTTTGTCTTAATTTGCTGATACATTGCTGAGCAACCTCATGCTTGGTCCTAGAGTTTTGCAGAAGAATTCTATTATTCTATTTATGATGAAAATTAATTCCACATTACTGAGATATTAAGATTTGAAATTGCTTTATTTAACATTTTAAAACAAGTGTGTTACAAATAGCAGAGGTGCACAAAAACAGCTGTACAACACAATGTCTGTTTTGGAGAACAGAAATGAATCAGCAGAGAAATTATGTGGATATAATAAGTAGAGTGTTGCAAATACAACTGCATGTTTTACCTAATTCTCTTTGTCAAGGAAAGCTACTGCAAACACATTAAACTAGAAAACAGAAGAGTAAAACTGATGCAAATTTTATTGATCTGTGACATTGCAGACAGGTTTCAGGGAGCAGCTAGAGGACCCCACAAAAAGTTAGACCAACTTATGCACAACTCAACAGAGAAATTATTTTTTTTTTTACTAAAAGTAAATTTATGGAAAAATAAACCTAAATTCCAGGTAATGAAGAGTTAAATTACTTAAAAGCCCCCAAAAATGCCTTTTCACACCAATCACCCTCCCCCCCCCCCCCCCCCCCCACCCCCAAAGAGATAATTCAAAGTAACTCAGTCTCTAATTAGTCTCCTGTACCGCAAACAGAAACACTATGCTAAAATGTCATAAGATCAAATCGAACCATCATCAGCAGTTCAGTATAATTTTCAAAGCCAGTCTAATGCATGGAAAGATTTACAGCACTATGAGGTCACAGGAAGGCCACTGACATTTCACATGACCTTAGTTCAACACAGACCTTGGAGCTTCATGGAGCTATTTCTTTTACTGAGCACTGTGTCATGTAGTGAAAATATCTTTTGGAAAAACATTTTATTGTGATTTAAAGACTTCAAGTGACAGAATGGCTTTCAACCTTTAAAAAGCCTTTCCCACAAGTAATCATATTATAAACACAAATCTACATGATCCACACGGAGATTCATAGGGCATCACAAGTCATTCACATCCAAGTTCCATAGGACTCTTTTGAGTTCAGTGAAAGTCCAACTTTCTGAAAGACTTAACCACGCACTGAAAGCCTTATAATACAGAAGCCTGTACCTGTGCAGGTGGAATTTTTATCAGAGGACTCTCGGGTTGTTTTCAGTTTGTTCTTTGATTTTTATTTCATTTTTTTTAGTTATTACTTTTTTTATTTTTTCAAATTTCAAAGCTTTTTAACAAATCTAGTTCTCATTCATGCAAAGCTGACTTTGTGAAAAGACTATGGGAATTTGCCCTTAATTTGACTTTTAAAGAAAGCCTTCAACAGCACTCTATCTTAGACTTTTCAAGTTACTGTTCCATGAAAAAAAGAATTCATTATTTCTTAGGTTTTACCTTTTGCACATTGGAGCAGAACAGAAGAATTTAGATTGCTCGATGCCTAAAAGATAACAACAAAACCACCTTTTGTGTCAGAGCTAAGAAAACAGGAAAGGCTGAGAGTACAAATGTTTACAAAGGTTTCTGTAAATTCAACAAAGAAGACAAATACTGTAAATCAGCCTTTTTGGTTTTATATAAGCCTTCTTGCAGAAACTTGGGAATGATTCTTTGTCTGTTTTATAATACCTCTGCCAAAATCTCATTAAAAACCTGAATGCAATACTTCCTACATACTTTGAGAAGAGCAAATGTGAACCTCTGTAAGGCAGCAATTTTTCCATTGGCAAAGTCTCACTGTTTCCCTTCCTGTGTCTCCTTCTGGCAGTTGCCCACAGCCCAGAAGTTTTTCCCCATGACAGCTCTGTCAGTGATAGATAGGTCAGCAGACTGAGGGGTCTCCTATAAGACCCCTGGGAAAAAATGGCCAAACTCTTCCAAATTATATTTCTATGAAAACCTTCAAACATAATTACTAAATCTTTCTTGGTTTATTCCCTCTGACTGCGTGACATTATGGACTCAGATCCTTAGTGCCAAAATTAACCTGTGATTTGTGCTCATTTTGAGAAGTCTTGGTATTTTCTTATACATATAATATGTATATGTCTTTCTGGTAGAAAAGTCAGTTACAAAGATATAAGAGAAGTTGTACTTTTTTTCCTAAATTCCTTTGGCTGAGAGGTTTTAAATCATTGTATTGGAATGATGGTAGGAAAACTGGAACCTACTTTAAATTTTACCATCTTACTCTTTGAAGCTATGAAAATAAACCTGAAAAGCTGAGAATCCTTATTTTCTAATATTATTGGAACTATTTCCAAAGTTTTGAATGCTAGTTGTTTGTTGGGTTTTTTTTGTTTGTTTGTTTTTTGTTTTTTTCATTAGTAAGTAAATTTGAAGACTTTGAATAATTATTGATACTATTTTTATGTGCATTTGTGGTTTTTGTCTTGTTTTGTTTGATTGACCTTGATACCAAAGCACATCATGCTACAGACCTCTGAGCAGTATGAATTTCATTTTCTGGAAAGTAAATAAATGAGAGCTTGGAGTAAAGAGAAGATGGCTTCAACGTCCTTCATTGACTTTTCAAAACATTAAAACATTTAGAACTAAATAAAAAACACGTCGTTGAATTTGCTTTCTCTTTGTGAAATGAACACAGGCAGACACATACATTAATTGCACCATCTCATCTTCTGGCTGGAAAAGAGCATGGGGATACTGGTTTCAACTTAAATGAAGTATAGTTTTGAATTTTATGAGTAGAATAGGCCTGGCAGAGTTACAGCCTAGCTCATAATTAGGAGGATTCCTAGCAGCTCTATTATAAAAATAAGAAGTGTTAATGCTAACAACATAATTACATGGATTGGAAAAAATAAAAAATAGACGTCTGAAGAAGAGTGGAAGTCTTTACTAGGAACCTATCAATACTGGACCACATGAAACATTACATAATAGACAATGGAGAGCAGGATCCTTTGTGAAAAGAGTGGAGGAAGTAGAAAGACACATCTGTGAACATGGTGTTATTAGAGATGCAAAAATGTTGAAGAGGATCACCCCCAGGATCCTGTGATAGTCAGTGTTGTTATTTTTGCTGTTTATAATTATTGTTGTGCTGATTAGCACCTATAATGTGTTAGGTATTGTTAAGACAGCAGGAAAAATGGATAAGGATATGGATAACACAGTGCTGTATTTTTTATTTTTTTTTTGTCCAAGTCAACTTGATAGTAAGTAAGTAAGTAGCATTGTAGAGAAAACACTGGGGATGGTAACCTTGTGGGTCATTCCAGGGAGGACTTGTGGACTGCTTAAAGAGAACCTGAACAATTTAAATTGAATAAAGAGAAGTAAAACAGTAGGTAAAACAATAAGAGGATTAATTTTTTAATGTGTCTTCCTAAAACAGACAATCCCCAGACTGTTTTTCTGTTGTGCTGCAGATAGTTTGTCACTGGACCCTGAAGTCTCAAAGGCAAATGCCTATGGATTCACTGGCTGCCTGTCCTCTGTTCGGTATAACCACATTGCTCCCCTGAAAGCTGCCTTACGCCATCCCAGCATTGCTCCTGTGACTGTCAAGGGCTCCTTGACTGAATCCAGCTGTGCATCCCTGATGGAAACTGATGTGAACACAGCAACCACAATATATTCCTCATCAGGTATGACCTGCCAAGAGGGGAATGGGAAAATTAAAGAATACCAGGGTGTGAGGTTTCTTTCATTTTTGCTGTAATGCAATTGCGAGAGTGTTATAAACATTGGAACTGGGAAGCTGACTTTTCTCTCAGAATCAGGAGTGTTAAGGATGGGCCTTAGGATTAGCCAATGCCACTTTAAAGGGCATTATACTAAAACATACCTATAACAAATAAAAAATTCTCACCACCATAGTGGAAACAGCATCTGAATTATTGAGAGTCTGATTTGACATTCCCGTCCACTCTAGATAGCTCCAGTGTCACAGATCTCAAAGGAAAACATAAATGTTACACAGATTTCATATCCCGGTTGTGATCAGCAGTAAGAATCATATGACAAACTAGTCAGATCTGTTCCCACCCTAGCAGAAAGGAGCAAAACCTCTTTGTACGAGCCCCTTGACACATACACATCACCTCCATTGAATGCTTGTAATTTATTCTCTCAGGCTAAAGGGAAGGAGCAGTACTTGAGCAGTGCCAGTAAGATGATTCCAACAGTTCGTTTATGTCTTTCAATCCTGAAACTGCCCTCTGGGAATCTTAAGAATTTTGCATATGTGAATTTGTATGCAGAGAAGGAGTCTCAGAGCAGCTGGGAGAATTGTCACCACTAAACAGGGGCAATCAAGTTGCTGCTTTAGTCACCAGCTGCATGTAGCAGAATTCCTAATGACCAGAAAGTGGTATAAATTAAGAGCTGTTTTTTGCCCCTTGACCTCTGAAGCCACTTTCTCTTTTACTAACTAATAAACCTCTGTTACATATCATAATATGATTCCTTTTACATTTGTACTTGCATCAAATCTCCATTTCCTGCAGCTTCTGCCTAAGACAGTCAATGGGGAAAAAAAAAAAAATCTTGCTATTAGCATTCTGCATAAGGAAAAAAGCTGCTGATTACTCTGTGGAGAGTGGCTGGCAGTGTGTGTGTGCACTTCTCTCCCTCCTGCCCCCAACTTTATTTTCTCCACCCAGAGTTGTCTAAAGTATCTGCTTTGAAGCACACAAAAAATGTAAATACTATATGTGTGATAATACTGAAAATATTAACTCCTTGCCCTGTAATCTGTCCTCCTGATGATTTAGTATTTCTGGACTTCAGAAGTCAGTAAAACCTGAGACTCAGAACTGCAGGACAGAACACAGAGCAAAATTTGGCATCTTTGCACTTATATATTTAAATCTTATAATCAGCTGCACTTTAATGTCAAGGTTAAGTACTGTTACATCAGAAATGTAGAATTATTATAAAAGCCCAAACATATTTTACCCTCTCTGTGCTTTAAAATACATTTTCTTCTCAATATGATACATTAAATGACAGTACTGCCTCACTATTCACATTGGTCTTGATTAAAGCCTGCATAAGATCTTTAGAACAAGTTAGTTCTGAAGACTTTATATGCTATAGTAAGAACACTGGGTGGTAGATTCTTTAAACAAACAAACAAAAAAAATCCAATCTATAGCAAATTATTCTTTGTATAGATGTACTTTAGAATTACATTTATGCGTGGGAAGGATACATTTTAATAAAAAGAAGATAGTTAAGGATTAACTTTCAGCCACTTATATCTCAATTCATCACTTCTCGATTTATCATTATTGTATGTCTGAGAAGAAAAATAGAACTCAAAGTTGACTCTACAAGTCTGTGTCAGTTTTCTAGTGTACAGATGCAACAAAAATGACCTTTAGGAAATCTCAATGTAAGTGTGTGGGGAAAAAAACAAACAAGCAAACAAAAACTTTCTATATTTATAAGCTGAAAACAATTGAAGCTCTCTCCTTCAGACAAGAATATTTATTGCCTTCAAGAAAGTCCCATAGGTAACAGATGCTGAATAAAATGTAGTCACTTGTGGCTCAGTTATCCATGCACATGGTTTTTGATTATGAAACACAAAATGAAAGCTGACATTGTGATTTTGATATTTAACAAAGATGTGGAAATCACCTTATTTCTTGCTGAGATACATGTAGAGATATTGGCATTCTGAGCTCTACACTGATGGCATAAAGATGTTGGACTCTTACTGTACTATTTGTTTTAGAGTATTAAAATACTGTAAATGCCACAGCAGATGCATCTGTGAGAATGGTGGAATTCTGAACTGTTTGTCAGCCCAGGTCTTCATACAGTTAAAGTAAAAATACCAAAGATAGAAATATTTTTGCTTCTGAAAGGCAACCTAGATGGTACAAGTCCCTGTCTCATTGTGCTTGTTCTGCTGAACCTGATATTTCCTCATGAAGAGGAACAGTAGATGAGCCATAGGCAGCCTTGGCTGTAGCAGCTATGAGATTAAAGTAAGGAAAGAAAAAAAGAAAAAAGTAGTTATGACTTCAATCCCAAAATTCAGGAGAGGGACCTGCTTGGAAGAATCTCATGAGATACTGGGATGCTGAGAAGAGGGATCCAGGACAGCTGTTTGATTTACAAGGATCACCTTCTCCAAGATCAAGAATGGTTCATCCTGATGGGCAGGAAAATTTAGCAAAGACAGTAGGTCCAGAGAGGTTGTGGAGTCTCTGTCCTTGGGTGGTATTTTCAAAACCCAAATGGATACAGTCATGGGAAACTGTTGTAACAGACCCAGTTCTGAGTAGGGGTTTGAACTAGATGAATTCCAGACGGGTCTTCCAACTTCATCAATACTGTGACTTTATGACTCACATTAATGTCATCAGTTATATCTAAAAGGAGGAGGATGTCCTGAAAAATTCTCTTATGAGACAAAGTGTTGCTTTTCCTCGGCTTCACAGTTTATTGTGTTCCCACTGGGAATGGTTCAGCTGTCACATGCCATCTGCTCCCCTGTAAAAAACACTTATCTCCTTGTATCTTGATTTTATTTGTCAGTCAAAACATAATTCTTAAGACCTATGCCTGTTGACTCCCATTCTGAAAATAATTTGCAACATTTGCTTTGGTTTCTTCTCAGTGCTTAAATTCTGGTAACAGTCACCAAAAAACAATGGAGCTTTGATAACATGTAGAATCAGAACTTATGTACCTTTTTGGCATGAATTACATCTGATATGTTTTTCAGGTAGATATTTAATTTCACTTTTCCATACATGGTTAATAGTCTTTCATGGCTCTACTTGACTAATACCACACACCAAATACCAATTAGAGATATTTCTTCAGTTACAGTAGGACTGACAGTTCAGCAGATGTGTGTATTTATTGTCATTAATTTCACTGGAGACATTTGAGGACTTGAACAGAAAATATACTTTATCTGTACTTATGTGTAAAAGAACAATTTTTAACCCTGTTCCAGTCCCATGAATATAGTAAATAAGATGAAGCATTACCATGACTATTTCTTGCTTGGCAACATCACTATATAAGCACCAAACAAGGGACACATTGTAAATAGGTCTCAACTTGAGTGTCCAAATATGTCAAAATTAGCAATTACATTTATGGTGATTGTGGGTATACTAGAGTTGTACTGTAGATACTCAGTTGACACCCAAAGTCCTTTTTGTGCCTGTAGCTCAGACAATGAACTGCAGATAGAGTGAACCCTGACTGTTTAGAATGAATTTGTTTGATGAGAAATCCTTCCACCTCTAAATCCCACAGTAGCCTCTTTGAAACTGATGCCTTCTGCATGTCTTTGGGGCTCATATGAATGTTGGAGGAGAATAAGGGAAAAAAGTACCCTCATTATGGTCTTAAGCAACCCAAAGCCACCATCTTTACAAACTCAGCACCTCGTGATACACAAATACAAAATAGTTGTGTGTTTATTTAAAAAATATCTTATTGGATGATGGAGTACCTAATTGTGACTTTGCCAGGTTCTAAGGCAATGTTCAGTTGCATTAAACCTTGCAATACTCAGAGTTTCTCAATCAGGCTTACATTTGTATTGGAAAGATCAGTTTGACAAAGAAATACAATACATAGCAGAGAGAGTCATCCCTAACTCCAAAGTACGTGCACTGAGTAGTAGCCTGGAGGTATGCAAAGGAGAGAAACACAAATTGTCTCTTTAAAGGAGACAGTGAGCTGAAAGAAAAAATAAATAAATAAATAAATAAATAAATAAATAAATAAATAAATAAAGGAAAAAAGAAAAAAAAAAAAGAGGTGAAAGAAAATGTACAAAAGTACAAACAGGACAAAAGTAGGTACAGTGCCATAACTCCACTGACTTCAGAGACTGCTTGACCTCTCAGTTTTGAATCTGAATTTGAAACTCCCAGTATGTAGACATTTTGGCCCACTGTTTTTGACAGCAGTCATTTATAAAAAGGTTAGAAGAGAGCTTCAACATCTAGGAGTTTTTAAATATAGGAATTCATTTATGACCCCTCTCTGTTTTGAATTCCATTTGACCACTGCATTTCTGCAATGGAGAGGAAAACATCCCTTACAAGATATTGTTCCAAGCAGAGACTGCTTCTCTTTATGGGATTGAATTTGACTTGTATATCTTCACCTACAAATGTAGGTCAGGTCTATATCTGTCTAGCTTTCCTTTTGCTTCTTTCTGATATTGTTTCTTAGGTACTAAGAAAAAAAAAAAAAAAAAAAAAAAAAAGGCTAGTTTGAATGTCTCTCTGTGATTCCTCTACAGATAAACTGAGAAAACACTTTCAGATGTTAGAGTAGTTGTGAGTCTTTCTGTTTCCTTTTAAATACATCCTTAACAGACTTTGCTCTTGGACACATAGAAGAAAATTGTCCTGCAAAGCTCACTTTATTTTTCAGAGAGCTTCTTGATTCTTCAGTCCCCCAAATCACATCTTTTGAAAACACATTACAATTCATGAGGGTAAAAGGACACTTCTGTCTAAGCCACAGTGAAAATTAATGTAGTTGATATAGAAAATAAGTCTTGTTATGTTTAACCAACTGCAGATCCTTTTGGGAAGACAGATGAAAGGGAGCCTCTCACCAATGCTGTCAGAAGTGATTCTGCTGTTATTGGAGGTAACTTCATTTTTAAAAATTAAAATTGAAATGTAATTCTGTCATGGCAAGTATCTAGGTAACTTTAAATTTGGGCCCCATAAAATCCAATTCAGCTAGTTTTCGTGATCTGATGCAGGTCTAGTATTTTCTCAATTTATTAGCACACATCTATATAAAGTTACCTAGATAGGTACCTGTATTATGAACTATATGAACTAAGGCCATAGTGTTGGGCTTGGTATTGGTATACATGGTATTTGGTACCAACCAAGGTAACCGGTAATTGCTTTACACACTACTCTGATGAGAAGCCTCAACAGAGTATTCACACATTCTCTACTTCTTGAGCTCTCGATTTGCAAGTTGATGTTGTGGAACTTGCTAGGTCATATGGAAGCATTTATATACTGGGGAAAGTTGTCTTTATAGCTTCATGTAGGGTTTTCATTTTCCTTTAACAACCTGGAAGGCAATTTATCTCTGTTTATTTTATAGGACACCCTGTAGGGAGCTGTCTTTGATAATATCTAGAAGCTATAAAGCTAAGTGTACAAGGCTCATGCAAGGTTTCAGAGATAACACAGAAGAAAATATGACAGGGCAGGAATTTGTTTGAGCATACAGATTTTTTTCTGTCTTTTATTTTTTTAATAAACAAACACACTGAACCAACTTTACTACCAGTGAAGGCAGAATTTGACTCAAATTGAAAGGTCAATTACATCGATGCTTGCTGCTTTATGTCTCACCTAAAGTGACAAAATAGCAATAAAGACTATCAGGAGGGCGTGATAGAGACAGACTGGTGGTACAGACCGAGAAGAGCTGCTATGTCACATCCATTAGCTGATTTGCAATGGTGATGTATTTTTGACATAATTAAGTCTTTTGGTTTTATATTTTACCCTTTCTATCCTTCCTTTTTTACCCCTCTTCAGGTGTAATAGCAGTTGTGATATTCATCATCTTTTGCATCATCGCCATCATGAGCAGATTCCTCTATCAACACAAACAGGCACATCGAAGTAGCCAGACAAAGGAGAAGGAACACCCAGAAAATCTTGAGAGCTCTTTTAAAGCTGACATTGACTTGCAGAACACAGTGAGCGAGTGCAAACGGGAATATTTCATTTGATGGACAATGCAATTTCTTCTTACTCTTATTCCCCTAACCAGCCTCCTTCCCTTTCTTTCCTTTCCTTACTGTTCCCTCTCTTTTTTTCTTTTCTTTTTAACATTCTTTTTTTGCGTACCTTTTTTTTTTTTTCATTTCGGAAAGACCACCTTGCACAGGAAACACTGACAACAATCACAGTGCCTCATTCTCTGCACAAGAACCTGGCAGTCACAGTTTACTTCTGCAGCTGAAGAGATGTGTTATCCCACACTACACAGAATAAGATCCACATACACGCCTGGTTTCTTCTTTGAGTTCCTGGATGTTTCAAAGGCCCTACTTTTACTTCTATTTTTTCTCTTGGACCATTTAATTAATCACTTTTACACTAGAGCTGGACTATGTAAAGTAGAGGTAAAGTAGCTGAATACGTAGCTCTGCAGATACTGGGACAGGATAGAGGGAAAGAATGAGACCAAAACACCAGACTTATTTTACAGGCTCATTTACAACAATCGTAAAGAACCAGCCAAATTCTCAAATGATATGAATTGATATATATATCTATTGATTTCAGTGGTGTTACATTAATTTATACCAGTTGAGAAGCTGGTGTGAGGTAATGAAAAATAAAACGTGTCTTTCTCGTTAGGCTCCTTCCCCCAGCCTCCTGTCCTTTTACTGTAACTTTTAGGCTTACCAATACTTTTCCAACAATATATATCAACAATAAATGTCATTCCCATATGCCTCTTTCATCTCCATCTCATAAGGCTGGCTTTATAGACCCAACATACTCTAGCATAACTCTAGATGAAGCATGGAAATTAGTAGCTTGAATCTCCAAGGGTTTTAGGAAGCTGCTAGGACTTAGGTGCACTATATTTGTCTGAAATGTTAGAAATGCAGCATATGTTCATGCCATATGGAGGATTATCATGCGCTGAGGTTAAACACCGTTGCCGCTTTGGAAAAGAAAAAAATACATAAGAAAAAAAAGTTCAGTTTTAAACATGAGATGCACCTTCTGCCAGTTATAAAAAATAATAATAATAATAATAAAATTCCAACTTCTTAGAAAAACACACAACCAAAACTGCATGAAAGTTTGTAGGAATTGGAATATCTTCTCCAAAGCTAAATAGAGAGAGGTCTAATGTCATGTTAAAAAAGGTTAATATTTAATGAACCCTGTGTACAAGGAAGAACATCATGGAATGCTGTGAAAAAAAAAAAAAAAGAAAAAGAAAAAAAAAGAAAAGAAAAAAAAATCCCAAATACTGCACTTAAGAGAAATGGTGGTGAAGATTAATTCAAGTCTTCTGTCCTTTCCTGATTGAAAACAATACTGAAGACTCAAATCCTGCTCATTTTACTTGCGCTGCATGGATTTCAATACAAGCCTGAAAAATCTTCTTTTCAGTCACAGTAACTGTAAGGCTAAGAAATGGAGAAGTCCCACTTAAGTGGGGTTTTTATACCCTGCTTGTGTCTGTGTAACATACTTCCTTCACAGGACTGCTTTTTCCTACTTATTGCAGTATTCTTTGGATGATAATACATTCAGGAGAATTATTGTGCACCTGAATCTCTTTTTTTCTTGTCCCCTACATCATTCTACAGTCATCCCAGGTTGTCCATGTACTGATCCTTTTCACATAGATTAAAATCAAAGAAACACTGTATTGCTGTAATGACCAACAGCAACTTATTGATGAGATTACACGTGCAATGTCTTTTTTTTTTTTTCCCTCCAGGCAATACACTGATCACAGAGTTATATAGCAGGTTATTTTTAATGGATGGAGGGGTCAAATAAAAAGAAATTAGTAAATGACAGGTTGAAAGTAGTGATTATGTGTTACTTCTTTTTGAAGACTTATGAGAAGTAAACTACAGTGAAGAGAAAGTAATCTTGGGTTGGTATTGTTCTTACATGAAGAGGAATATATGAGACCTGCCCCATAACCAGAAGTCTAACAAAGCAATTTCACAAAGCCAGCTATGTTGAAATTAGTATTGATGTCATTCTTCCTCGACCATAATTGACAGCAACCTTTTTGTCTCATTCTGGATGTTTTTATAATATATGATTATTTGAGTGTGTTTCTGTATGATGAGATGTCTAATCATGGACTCATTGGCTGTGTTCCCTTTATGTTGCTTTATTCTTCACTGCAAAATCCTGGCAAAGCAATTCTTTCTTCTTTTTCCTTCCTTTCTTTTCCTAGATAAAGCTGCTTTGTCTTTCATTGAGAGAGGGGAGGAATGAGCAAGCCCATGAGCCCCTGTGCCCATGTTTGAGTCATCTTATTTGAAATGACCTCTGCATAAGAAATCTCTGAAGACCTAATGCACCTAGTTAGCTTTATTAAAAATGGCATAGGAAGAAGGGGAAAGCCAACAGGTGTATTTTTGTCTGGTATTTTTGTCTGGCCAAACTAATAGACACAAATCATTCATCTGCTTTGCTGCATGCTAGCTTGTAGGAATAACAGTACTACAAAGTGCAGATATAAAGTGCAAAGCTACTCAAACAATGCAGTAGCTGGAGAAACGAGACTAAGCAAGGAAGCATAGTCCTCTCATTTGTCAAGTGACTAAATCACTTTCAGCCATCTCAGAATCTGATTCTGCAAAATGCTGAACTTTCTTATGGAGGATCAAGTTCCCATCACCAAATGCAGCCTTGCTGCAATCATTTCAGATACAGCATGGTGGCTCAGTCCTGGACCAGGTGGTATGTCGTGTGCAATCACAGACCTGGCAAAACAATGTAAGCGGTTTCTTTATTTTTCCTTACCTTCATTAATTTTAGTCCAGGATGGAAAAAAAATAATAATCAAAACTTAAATTTAGCTGTGTTGGTATGTTTCTATAAAAAGAAAGAACTACATGTACATAAGTGCATGCATAGATATAAAGAAGCACATGCATCTATGCCTATGGATGCAATGAATGTGAATATTTATATGATACAGGTCTGAACAAAAGAACACATTTGTAGGAGCTCATGATTTAAAATACTGTCTTCTAAATCAGGACATTAATATTTTTCTAATTAAGAACTATCTAAAACCTACTATATAAAGTAAACCCTAATACTAGCTTTTGAGACATATAGGCTGCCACCTAAGTGAAGCATTGCCTTTAGAAGGAATTTAGTCTCCTGAGGATGTATATCAATGCTAAAGTGACTAAACAGGATGAGCACTTGTTTGAAATTAATTTCACTTGGAGTTCTGTGTCTTTTTTACTTTGAGATGTTTTTTGTTTTTTGTTTTTTGTTTTTTTTTTCTTGTCATGGTATGGCCCTTAAAGTATGTCTACAATGAAAAACAAAGGCAAACAAAGGACAGGCTTTTAACCTGCATTGGCTAAACCAGGATTCTCATTTGGGTGAAAGTAGCTGTGAAAAAAAAAACACAACTTAGAGCTGTGCTAAGATCATCTTCAATCACAAATTTTCCTTGATGTTTCAGTTAAAACTGATGGCCAAAATTCAAACATGAGGTGCATTTTCTCTGCTTTATTTTAATCTGATCTAGCCAGACTGAACCAATCCTATTTAGTAGTCATTAAGTTTTTACAGTGTAGGCCAAACCTGTATTTTAATGAGGTGCTTGTCTATATTAGCATTTAGCTGATCACATTTCACATATTGGGTGAGGAACAATCAATACATCATATGGTTTCACTAGGGTGAGGGGATATGAATCTTCTCATAATGAAGTCCACTATTGATTTTGCTGCACGTAAGATTGAGTCCTAGACCACAAAGCACTTGAAGATTTTTTTATTATTATTATTTTTTGAGTCCTTTTGTTTTGTTTTGCATTTGGTTTTACAAGCTACCTGTTTCACACTTGTCATTCAGTCCTGTCCTTTGGTCTGTGAGGACAGGGCAAACAGCTCAGACATCCTTTAAGATGAAATGAATCACTCTCAAGAGGTGCATCTTTCTCTCTATTGATTAAAGAGCTCCGGGCAATATGCTAGCTGCTTATAGCAATGTTTATCTACATAGAGGAATCTCACACTGTGTTTGCAACTCCAGTAGACATATCTGCACAGGGCTTACAAAATACGTTACTTTCAGAGGTGCCAGTTGGAATTGAGGAAGGAACATCCTAGCAACTAGAATTACACTAGTCATCTCTGCTTAAGAAATGCATGTCTACTTATAGCTGAAAATCACATCAAAGCACCCTTTTGAGTCAGTGACCATCCAGTCAGTAATCTGTGGAGTTTAGAGAGAATAGATCTCTGATCTATTCAAAATACAGGATCCATTCATTGACCTGTGGGAGTGTGGGAGCTTTGACAAAAAGTATACATGTAGACGGATCTACACAGATTTTGTAATCTAAAGTTAACCTAGACCCCCCTAGTTGCCTTTCTACCCATGGGTCTGGTGCCAGTTTGAGATAAACTGGATTTCCTTTGCAGCTCCAGTAAGGATGCAAGTCTCCTGCCTTTCATGTCCTGTATCTGCTAGACCCAAGCAGATATTTACTGATACCTGTTGGTTTTTCAAATTACATTAAGTGCCCATCCAGAAGCCCTAACTTCTAAATGAGGTGAATCCTTGAAAAATCCCATCTTCAGAACAAAATCAACCTTCCTTTCCATCAGTGTAAGCCAACTTTTTGAAGTGCGTCCTTTACCCTGGGTTAGCAGAGTCTAAGAGGAGGCAGGATTTGACTCCTTTGTACTCCACCATCTCATGACATTGTTGTTTCTTGTTTTCACCTACACTAAGCCTGCACTGAAGAAGATGAGTTTCAAGTATTGTTTTGCACTGCACAGACACAAAGGGTCATTATATTATTATTATTATTTATTTTTCCAAAAGCAACACTTTGTAAAAGAGTTGTACAGAAGCTGAGACCTTGTGAGGCTCTCTGAGACAAGTGCTATTTCAAAGCTTTCATGCAGTTTTGCAATGCTTACTTATCAAACAAGCCAAGCAATATAGTTACATCCCTGCCAAAATATGGCTTTATCCAGTCTTTTGAGGTTGGTGGGAGGCCTCTTTGTTGACTACAGTTAGAGTTGCACCAAGTCCTTTGGGGTTTTCTTGAAAAGTTACTGTTGCAGCCACACAGCTTCAAAGCATATTTTGTTTCTTTTGGATCTGAACTTTGCTGTGCTCCCTTTTGCAGTGAAAAGTTCTCCACATCCCCTTTTGATTTGGGTTGCCCCCCTCTCCGTGCTCCTTCTGTATATGAAACTTCTAAACACACTTCTTTTAGGACTGAAAGTTTGTTTTGTTTTGTGTTTTTTTTTTGTTTGTTTGTTTTGTTTTGTTTCTCTTTGATTGTTTACTTTGAGCCATGCCTATAGGATTTTGGATTTTTGGATATTTTTATCTATTGGTCCTTATTTTTGTGATCTTTTGCACTAAGTTACTCTGACAAAAACAAAAACTGGAAAAAAAAGCACACTTTCTGGTGAACTAATGCAATTTGTAAGCTTGTTGTTTGTTGTTTGTAATGTACTGAGTCTACAAGCCGAGCTAAGGAAGGATTAAGGCAACAATTTATATTGACACTCACTCCATATCTAGTTCACCTCTGATTTCTTTTCTGTTTCTCTCCTTTTTTCTCTTTAACATGTGGGTCTATCAAATTGGTGGTAGGAGATAGAAGAACTTGTGTTATTATGCTAAGGTTATGATTTTTCTCCTGGCAGTCGCAGAAACCAGAAATATGAAGAAATGGCATGAATGTCAAAATGTCATCTGGGTGTTCAGCTGTGAGACTGCTCTCCACCATGGAGATGTAGTCATCTCGGGATGGTGACCTGTAAGGGGGAATGGGGACATTACCTCGCCAGATTACACAGCGAGGCAGTGCATGAGAGGAATGCTCTCAGAAAGGTAAAGCTTTTTGAACCATGTATGGTAATCTTTGGGTGGATATGAGGGTTTCAGATCCGTTTCCACAATATATTTGTGCCATAAATTGGGTTACCAATTATCTGGCCAAAACATAACCTGAATTGTCCTGATGATCTGCAAAGTATCAGAGATGTGCTTCAATCATGGGAGAGAATTTCAAACCACCTCTAAATCATATTAATCTGAGTCTCCCCAGTTAAATCACTGGTGCTCTCCCAGCTGCTTCAGAGAAGAATTTGGGATTATTGCCCTCAAACGATCATTTAATGGGTACAACAGGTGATCCAAAGAATGGTATTTGCTTAGAGGCTATCCTCTTCCCTGTCCCTCTCTCACTTTGGATGCTTGTGGCAGCTTTCTTGTAAAATTACTGATTGCTGTTTATATCCCAACACCATTTGCTTCTTGATATACCAGTCATTCCTCTTGTTGTGGATTTCAGTCCCACAACTCTAACGAAACTCCATCTGATACAATCTCTGCATGGGAAATTATTTATTATTTTGCATGCCACAGACCATTAGAATTTCTTCTTGCATTGTTTAGGCAAACCATTTTCTGACATTTTTGTCATTGCTGCCAATGCTGAGCACACGTATTAAGAAGGAAAGCTGATCACTTCTGAGTTAAAGCTTAGACACAGTTGGCTGCAGCCCCTCACAACACAGAGGAGTATTCAGATACCTGAGCCCACTCCATGAACTTTCAGACAGAGGTTAGAAGAGCAAGGAGGTATATATATATATATATATATATTTCAGATATGTAGCCATATAAATCTCTGTGAGTTTTGCAAATGAAATATTTGACGTAGACCATTATATGTAAATGATAGGAAGAAGCTAAACATCATTACACGTGACCTGCTTTGAAACCCATTTTGTGGAAGAAACAGAGCCAGCTTCAAAACTGGTGGTAATCCTGTTGAGGTCAATCTAGATACTTCACAGATGAATTTAGCCTTAGATCACCCAAGGCAAGGGCAGTGATGATCTCCTGCAAACTGAGCCTGACATATATGAATTCAAGTCAGGACCTTATATTCGTCATCCCCTACTGCTGTCAACAAGAGTTGCATTCACTGCAATTATGTGTGTCTTCTAGCAGAACTGAGGATAAAACTCAAGATAAGGCAATGAACTTCGGCTCCACTTAAGCCCATGTCATGTTTTAAGTCACCTTCACAAGTTTCTGGAAATGTGAGTAGGGCTGTTATCAACCAACTTGGGAGCCAACGCATTGATTTTAAGAGGATTTTATGCATTTTTAATGGAATACACCTCTTGGTGGACTGTGGTTTGCTGTATCCTACTTGAAAAATGAATGCACCCTATAAAGGGGAAAAAAAAAAAAAAAAAAAAGGCTTCACAGGCTGAAATCTAGCTGAGATTAAATACTTATAATAATTAAAAATTGGCCCTTCTAGGGAGGAGCCCTGCATCATTCGTTTTACTTTGTTCTACTTAAATTACATTAAATAAATCTCTCAGAACACTGCTCATTTCAGTAGCAAAGATCTTTTTTTTCTTTTAATGGTCTGTTCAAGGGTAATGCAAGAGTCTCTCAGTTACAGTAAAAAGTAAAATGGAGATTTAGATGATTCCCCTTTCACTATCTGGTTTTCTAAAGAGAATTCCACAGGACGTTGCCTCAGTCCACGTCAGTTTTGTAGACAATGTAACGTCTTACTACACTGTTCGGGGATTGAAAAAATTTAGCCTTAGCTTCTTTTGTTTTCTATGGTTACTGTTGTACAGAAGAAAGACTTAAACTGTAAATAATGTATATTTAATAAAAAGAGACTTTTTGTATGATTTTGTGTGGAAGACAAATGTCTCCTGCTGTGTTTTTATTTTAGCATGGGATGGACATTAAAAAAGAGGTGAATATGGGAAAATTACTTTTCAGGCTTTTACGCGTTAAATTTAAGCCAACAGATCTCACTGGATATTAATAAAAGCTGAAGAGTCCACAACCTGGATTTATTGATTTCAGCTATTGCTAAAAGTTGTTGTCCAAGGACATCTGATCATCACCCACATCCCTGACATAACTCATTAATGCTGGTTTGCAACACCTACCCCGAGTGCACAAGCACACAGATGTCTAAGGGGTTAAAACACATGTCTGGAGATGTGCTTTAATTTGGGTTAGAAAGCATGTGTGAGCATTGGCTCTACAGCCTTCCAGGTACATGCACATGCATGTACATGCTTCCCAGCCTGCCATGTGTGTCCTGCTGCATCCACATGTCCACTTGTGAAAGGATCACACTTCTGCCTGTTGCAGCAATTCTCACTCACACACTGCTGCCATCACATACATCCCCAGCATGATAAACCAGGGCTGGCTCAATATTAGTGATTTTACCGTTAAATATTTATATATTAGCAGATGAGCTGTGGGTGTTGTTATCTTAGGTACTTCTTTGTGATTTTTTTTTTTTTGTTTGTTTGTTTGTTTTCCCCTTCAATTCTGGATAAAATACCTTCCAGAAGATGGGGTTAACAACTGTTCATGGTCCTGCACACAGGTGTGCTGTTTGGCTGGGTAGCTTGGTGGTACGTACATTGGGGTTCTGTTGCAGTTAATGGTGCCTGAGTGCTCGTCTAACAGGATGCTCCAACCTACTACAAGTGTCCCAATCCACAGATAGCCACACAACATGCAGACACAACTTCCATCCTACCCAGCAACCCTCTCCTGGCACCCCTTGTTCCTGGTGGGTGGGGAAGAAAGGCGTTAGAGACCACTTGACTTAGCAGAAACTTCAAGTTGCAATGAACCCCACACCAGTTTCCTTCTCAGAGAAAAAGATGAGCAAGTAAGAGCAATACCAATACAAATCTCCCAGCCTTCTTTCTTCATGGCTAATACAGTAGGAGTTACAGCAGTAACCTTTGAAAACCTGCAAGGCCATGCCAAGTCTTACAATTTTATTTGTAAGAAATAGAAGTTGTAAGAACACTTGGAAATTAACTTTGTGTAGTTTACAGTCTGGAAACATCGCTGTGGCTTGTTTTCTCTTTTTCTGAGGAGAGAGGGAGAAGGATTTTTTTGTTTTTAACTCCCTAGGTGGCTTCTTTAGCCCTCCCATCCACCTACCTTTTTTTTTTTCTTTTTTTCTTCTCTTTATTTTGCTTCTCTTCTTCCTGAATTTTCATACGGTAAGTTGGAGACTTTATTCAAAAGGTTGCATTAAATAATTGCACTAGTGTAATGGAAATGCATATATATAGTTGATGGGCTGATAAAACATCATTAATTGCAGTTTATGGATAGTTAGCCATGTCTGGAAGAAGAGACAAGATATCACGGTGGGTGGCAAATACAGTTTTCATCTGCCTCACCCTCAACACCTGCTGTCCTTTTCTATCAGGCAGAATGAAAAATTCACCTCTCCTGCAGCAGCCACATGAGTAGCAAGTGGTTTATATTAAAGTTTTGTTGCTTCATCCAAATGCCCATCGGCAAATATATATAGGCAAATACCATTAAGTGAACTCTGCTGTGAAAGAAATATAGGAGAGCCCTTCTATAGTAAGCTGTGGTATTTGTTTTCTTTTTCCCCACAGCATGAGTATTAGGCTGCTGCAGTCAGTGCTTACTTTTCTATACCAGTTAGCCTAGCAAGAAGTCACAAAAAGCAACTATACAAGGTTACATTGTTCCTCCAACCTCCCATGCTGGTGATGTCCATATTTAACTCTTCCTGGCTTAAGCTCATTGCTCTTTCTTTCTCAATGCCTAAATTAAATAGCCTTTGCCTCAATTTAAGCCCATTACTTCCAATGCCCAAGGAAAGGGCAAGAACATCTTGCTCCCTTCCTGTCATGCAGCAGCCTTTTCTTTTTTTCTCTGTTTAACAGCTATGGCATCCCTCCAGCTTCCCCATACTCTTCAGTTTTCCTCTTTTTCAGACACTCCAACCCCACTTCCCTTACACCTTTTCTTGCACATCGTATTTTAACCCTATACAATCTCAAGAACTCCATGCTTTATTTTACCTGCTGGGGTGTCAGGACCGATCTGTAGATTTTTTTTTCCCTCTCCCAATATTTTGTTCAATCAGCCCCGCTCCCTGCAGTCTTCCCTAACAAAACATCACCAGAGCCCTGTAGTGATGATGGCTGTGCCTTGCCACAAGATATGCCCCAGCAGTAGGGCACCAACAACATGATTTAGAGTTTATTGCAAACAGCTCACACATGGCAAGTATTGCTGTGACACAAAATATCACATCATGTGATGGACCACAGTGCCTCTGCCTCATTAGGAGGCACAAAGGGGTGGCTAGTTGTCCAAAAGACCAGTTTCCAGTCCAATTTCACTTTCCAAAATGTTGGGCAGTAGGAAATTAGGAACTGACAGGTGTGGCAGATCTCTGCCACAATAAGGAGAAGGTATCCAAATGCATCTGCTGCATCTCTGCCCCGTGGCTAAACTACAGCTGGGAAGCTGATTTTTTTTTTTTTTTTTTTTTTTTTTTTTTTTTTTTTTTGTATCATGCTTTGCTGTAAAATGAAGTGTAATAAACAGGACAGATCAGGAAATGAACAAGTTCTGATGGGGAAAGCATGCATTAAAAAGGATGATCAATGTAGGAAAGGCAACAAGCTGCTATATAACAAATGAAGGATTCAGCATGAAGTAGTTCAGCTTCAATAACCTAAGCTAGCAGTCTACTAGCAAGTTTATTCAGTTAAAGTGAGGCATTTTTCCTGAAAGAAGGATTGAGCATTTGAACAGAATATTGGACTTTGAGTAGGAATAGGAGTGGTAACAAACAAGTGAAACATATATACGGACTCCTTACTTCCCTATGGACATCAGTTTTAGGTGGTGATCTTTGGTGCTGATGCCTAAAATATCATAACATCCCTGACCAGCCAACTGCTGGGTATGGACTGACAAAAAGATGTTTTTTTTATTACTGACATTTAGGGAATTTACTATTTTATATATAAATTTTTAATTTTGGAGCCACTTTCTGTCTTGATTAGGACCTACTATTCTTTAGGGTCATCTCTCATCTGAATTTTGTAGAGGAGTGAGAAAACCAGGAACAGTTTTATAAATAACAGTTTAATAAATAACAGTACTTATTTCCCTCAGTTACAGAAAGCCATGGGAAGCAGTCACACTGAGAGGCAGGTATGTGGGACTGTTCTGCCCCAGGGTACACCTGAACCCGCCCGCATCTGTGTGCTGCCTTCCATAGATAGGATTTACCTGAGCTTTATGCAAAAGACTGATTAAGTCCCACAGGTAAGGCTTTACATAGATCTATAAAAAATCCCCATACACACAAGGTATAATCAAGGATGAGGATGTGACTTTCAGGCCATTCCTCTGCTTATGCAACGGAGAGGAACTGCCTCTACCCAGCTGTTTCCTACCACCACTGCTGGTGCCCAGGAGCGAGAAGCTCCTCAAGCCCATAGGGCTGAGCAGAAATCTCCCTTCACTAGTTCACCCTGCCCTCCCAAGAGCCTGCAAGCTGATGTGAAAATGCAGAGATTTTTATTTTATTTTCCAGAGCAAACTGCTGTGCAGGGCCCTTACAATGTGATCCACATCATCAAATTAAAGAAGCTCAGTAGCTAGAAAGGTGAGGGACTCCATCTAACTGCGAGGGCAGAAGTCAGTCCTGCCTGGGATCTGAAATCCATCTTACCACTTTGAGGCACCGCTGTGAAAAACAAAGAGTCAGTCACTCCTCGCACTAAGTATTGCTTTGCATATGCATATGCATACATGCACATGTATACAGACACATTTAAAAAATATATAAATGTGTGAATATATATATATGTATGTGTACATATATATTTATATACACATCTGAATTTTTATATATGTATACATATCTTTTTATAAAAACACACACAAACATATTTATATACATAAATATAATACATAAATATGTATTTACATATATATTTATATGTATATGCCCCTCAAGAGACAACTCTTTCTAGACATGGGGGATGCACTCGAAGGAGCCCAGCTGGAGGAGAGGCAGCACTGGGAAATATTCACAACAGCACTGTGTATCTCTACCATGGTGGTGGTTTCTAGACCTTGAGCTGCAGTCTTAATGTCTAGATTATGTTGTTTTATTTCAGCTAGAACTTTGTCTCTCAATGGACTTTTTGAACATTTTTGGACTTTTTTATGTTTCAGGTCAAGTCTATCAATTTAGTAATGTAAACTAACAAGCAAAGGGGTTTGCTGCTGTGGTAGGGAATTAATTAGATTTAAATTTGCATTGGGTCTGATAGGAATCTCATAAAATGATGAAATCTATTAAAAAGACTTGTGATTGCATATTTTTGAGGCTTTATGCATTTGGTATCCAAACCTCCATGATGTCGTCTCATCTATTGACATTCTCCATTTTATGTCAAAAACCTGTCAATGGTTGCTCATCTCAGACTAGAATTTCTGTTACTGAATGCCCATTTGGTCCTTTCATAGAGTCTAGTGCAAGAAAACATCTCTAGAGAAATTCTATGAAGAGCTAACTTGTGGGCTGTCAAAATGCAAAGATATAACAGGCTTGCCCTTGTCTCCAAACATAAATGAAAACTAAGTTTCCACATCCACAGCTTCTCTGTCCAGCCTGTTCTGATACCTCACCTCCCTCAGTAAAGAAACTAACAAATTTAGAACAAACAAAATACACCATAATAAATTCATTTATAGTTCAGTGGAATTACGATAGCAAAGAATTACCTACCTATCCTTCACCTCACTAGCATCTTCATAGGACAGTTATCTAATACAAGGTTTGGGCCAAATTCACTGGTAACTATTAAGGACTAG